GAGATGCAAACAAGACTGTCCCCTAAAAGTAAAAAGCAAATAAAAACATGCTGGCAGGGCCCTGACAAAAGTGTTGTCTCTGCTTTAAGTCTGCCAATGACAGAAATGGTGATCTTCTCTGAAAGCTACTGTTTTCAACTGATGTCAATGCATTTTTAGATTTTCAAGCTAAATTCTCCGCCTTCACTCAGCTTGTCACTTGGCCACACCTTGAGAGAATTCATTCAGAAGTGTGCACAGGTTTTAGGAAGAGGAAAAAGACATAAACCGGTAAGTACACACAACTTTCCAGTTTAGTGCTGCTTCTTCAACCTACTCAACTTTAGCGCTATCAAGGGACACCTTCAAATCTCACCTCACCACGTGGATTAGACCACATCATAACTTTTACTGTAAGGTGATTCAGCATGCTGAGAAGTACATGCAACTGCATAACAGATCTCTCTGGAAAGAGGGCAAATTAGTGCATTGTCAATTGCACAAGAGTCTCATGAATGTTCAAGTAAAAAAACCTTCTGTCACTTTCACAAGAATTAGTATGAAACTTCACAATCAGTTAAATCAATCTCAGCAGAAACACATAAAAAAGAACAGGGAGCCTGCTAACTCCTTTTCAGCTTCTGGGTGCTTAATAATTAGCAGCTGAACAGAACCATGTTGCCTTTAATAGCAACGTTCCCTAGATGGGTTAATCTGTGGAAAGTAAACTCACAGAATTAGAATGCAGCAAATAATTTTTTTTTGCTTTGTAGATGTATTTTAACAGATTCAACTAAATTCCTTCAGGACATTCTGAAATATTTCTACCCCCTAATCTTTTCACCATCTTTGTAAATGCTGAATAAATATTACCAGTCGTTTTGTGTCGAAGACAGGTACGGTGAAACTTGGAAGTCTTTTATGGTTATTTCAAACTCTCTGATGAGCAATTTTCAGGCACCTTCCCACCCTCTTAGCAGTTTACAGCTTCCTCACAAGGGGAAGAGGAGGGGCAGGCACTGATCTCTTCTCTGTGGTGACCAGTGACAGGTACCCAGAGAATGGCCTGAAACTGTGTCAGGGGAGGTTTAGGTTGGATATTAGAAAAAGGTCCTTCCCCCATAGGGTGGTTGGGCACTGAACAGGCTCCCCAGGGCAGTGGGCACAGCACCAAGCCTGACAGAGTTCAAGAAGCGTTTGGATGATGCTCTCAGGCACATTATGGGACTCGGGGAGGCTCCCGTGCAGGGCTAAGGGTTGGACTCGATGATCCCTGTGGATCCCTTCCAACTGGGCATATTCTTACTCTGTTTCTGCACATCCCTCCTGGGCAGTTTTCACCACCCCAGGCACAGAGCAGTTGCACTGGATGACCGTGATCGAGACACATTAATGCAGACTCCTCCGACCCCACCGGCCCCCCACCGAAACACAGAACTCCCCAACACCTCAGTGCATCAGCGCTCCCAAACCAGGCTTCGGAACGCTGCTGAAAAAGGTGCTCTCGAGCCTGACACTGCTCTGCACCGCACATACGGAAAGTTTAAATATTTCTTCACTCTTCGCTTTTCTTCACCTTACCCTCGCGAGTCGTGCTTTCCACGCATTTTAACCTCCGCTTATTCTGCCTCGATTCCATTTCCCACAGCGGCCTTTGCGTGAAAACCCCTCCCTTCCTTTCCCCTAGTCCTCCTCGTCCTGACAGCCTCATGTCTTTCGACTCCTACAAACGCCACAGAGCTCCAACCCGCCCGGAGAACTCCCGTGAGTACAGAACGTGTGTGTGACTCGCCTGCCCGCGGCTCCCCATGGCGGCCGCCGTCCGGGGGGACGGGCCGGACCCGGCCCGGGCAGGGACCGGGAAGTGACGAGCTGGGAAGTGACGAGCTGGGAAGTGACGATCCGGGAGGGACGATCCAGGAGAGACGATCCGGGAGGGACGATCCGGGAAGGGCGATCCCGGACGTGCCGTGCCGGCTCCTGGTGCCGCCGGTGCCGCCGCCCGTGCGGTTGTTGGATCTCTCCGGTGAGGGAGACTCCGCAGCCCTCTGTGGGCCGTCTGTTCCAGTGCTCGGTCACACGCGCAGTGAAGATGTTCTTCCTCATCTTCAGGTCGAGCTCGCCGCGCATCAGTTTTTGCCCGTTGCCACTTGTCCTGTTCCGTGGCACCACCAAGAAGAGCCTGGCTCCATCCTCTTGGCACCCCTGGTTTAGGTGTTTATGCACATTGAGGAGGTCCCCTCTCAGTTGTCTCTTCTCAAGGCTGAACAGGCCCAACTCCCTCAGCCTTTCCTCCTAAGAGGGATGCTCCAGTCCCCCCAGCCTCCCTCGTTGCCCTCCGCTGGACCTGCCCCAGGAGCTCCATGTCCCTCTTGTCCTGAGGAGCCCAGAATTGGACACAGCACTCCAGATGTGGCCCCACCGGGGCTGAGTAGAAGGGCAGGGTCACCTCCCGTGGCCTGCTGGCAAAGCCCTTCCTGATGCACCCCGGGACACCACCTTATGTGACTCTCGGGGAAGCTCCTGTGCAGGGCTAAGGGTTGGAATCAATCAAATCAATCATCCTTGTGGGATGCCTTCTCCTTTCCCAGACTATTTTTTTCACCTTTTACAGAAGGAAAATTGTGGCTGCAGCTCCGTGTTGCTGCGCTTATCAGTGGTATCTCAGGATGTTTCTGGTTCCTAGGTACCCAGCTGTACTTAGAAGGGGCCAGCCACACTTTCCAAGGACACTTTTGGTTCCCAGGATCACAGCTGGCAGGCTTTTTCCTCTGCTGGTGTTTTCCAACAGGCATTTTCTTTTGTTCAGTCTTTTTCCCTTTCTTGTCAGGTCAGTTTCTCTGCTGCTCACATCAAGCTCCCCACAGCCTTGCCCTGCCTCAGGGACCAACCCAGGCTTGGCCCAGTCATACCATGGCCAGGTCCAGTACTTGTGTAAAACTCAATTGCCATTCTTTAGAAAAACAAACAAGCTTATACTTCAATAACACATCACCCAGCATTAGCTAAAGGCAGCATAGAGATTTTCTGTGTAATCAGCTTTACTGCTCACTAGATCTCTGGCTTCAATACCTAGTCTATTTAATTGTTTAATTGCAATTACATTGGCAGATAATTGAAAAAGCGGAACACTAAACTATTACTCAATAATTTTCATATATTTATTAGTTATTTATGAATTATTAATCATAAGCATTTATTAAATACTTATCTTGGACTATGTGCCCCATAAAGAAACTCATTCTGTTAGCAGGAGAATGTTTATTCATAGATTTATTTTCAGGAATAATTATTGTGAATGAATGAATGAAACTCTTTGAAAAGACCTTGTTTTATTCCAAATGGTATAAAATTTGCCACTTACACGGTGAGACAAAAATATATGTTGAAGTCAACTATATGAAATAAATGCTTTTTGCTTTTTCAAACTTCTAAAATTGTCTCTTTGTTTTCTCATAGCACAGAAATATGCTTTCTAGACTGATTCCACCACAGCCCTTGGAACTACTTAAAGTACACTAGCATGTGCAAGTGGATCCTGAACAAGTATTTATATGTTAAACTCTTTAAACTGTCTAGCTAGTACTATCAGATCTTCTGTTCTTTCACAGAATGCGTTTAATTCCCGAGAAAATAAAGGAAAAAAATTAATCATATATTTACTGAATAACCACGGTTAGGCAACAATATAAATCAAAGCAATTTGTCCTGGAAGCACCAATTCCATCCTTGTCTTAGTTGTCATAAAGCTCCAATACCATCTGTAGGATGGACGCATGTCAAAATATCCTAATCCAAAACTCTGAGGAACAGAGTATCATCCCAGTGTTTAATGTGCTTAACTAGAGCTTTGTTTAGGGTATCTCAGACTATTTCAGAGTTATTACCAGAAATATTCAACAAATTCTGCTCTTTTTGTAACAAGGTCAGGTAATCAAATGTGGAACCATATTATGTTTAATCCACTTAGCAGTATTTATCCCCTGCCTCCCTTCAGAATGCTTTCCTGGGAGATTTGTGTCAAGAGGCAACTATATGTAAATGTCTATATTAAAACCTTCCCAGACAAAGGTTGAGGGAAATCAATCTATTTTATCTGTGAAGTTCAGAATATCACAGAACCATGGAATGGTCTGGATTGGAAGGGATCTTAAAGATCATCTAGTTCCAACCCCCCTGCCATGAGGAGAGACACTTTTCACTAAAACAGTTTGCTCAGAGCCCTCTCCAACCTGGCCTTGAACACTTAGAGGCATGGGGCAACCACAGCTTCTCTGGGTAACCTGTTCTGATGCCTCACCACTCTCACAGTAAAGAATTTCTTCCTAATATCCAGTTTAAACCTGTAATCTTGCAGTTTGAGGCCATGAAGCAGCACCGTGAACTTGGTCTCGTTAAACCACATGAAAAGGAAACTTTGTTTTTACTCTTTTTTTTTACCTACTGCTCTTTCATTTCTCCTATTTCATGACTGCTGTCATGTCTATAAAAAAAAGCATTTACGACTAGATGTATAGCTGTGCAACATTGCGTCGTCCTCTGTAACTTACTAGTCATATTGATTAGCCTGTTTCATGGTTAGGAAATTACTCATATACAGAAGAGCTGGCACATTAAACTGCTCCTCTGCGGGAGCCATCCCAGCAGCACCCGAAACCCGCCAACTTGTACGGAAAAGCCTAGCGGCAGCCCTGCCCGAGGCAGTCTGCAAGGGGAAGTCCCAAGGAGTGGCACAGACACTCGGGTTGGATTTGACAAGCAGTATTTCTCACTACACCAGCCTCTCCTGCCAGCGCACTAACTCGGCATACGCGCCTCAGAGCTTCACAGCTCTGATCCCTCCGCGGCAGCCGCCGACAACCGCACCCGCGGATCCCTCCGCCCCCCACGGGTCAGCGGGGGTGGGGGGGCGCGCCAGCGCGGTGGGCGGTGACGGGCGGGAAGAAAGACAGGCAAAGCGACCAATCGGCGGGGTGGGCGCGGCCGGCGGTGCTCCGCCGGCCCAATAAGCGCGGCGGGGGCGTGGCCGCGGAGGCGGGCGCGGTGAGGGCCGGCGGGAGCCGCGCGCGAGCGGCCGCCATGGCGGACGAGATCAGCAAAGCGCAGGCGGCGCGGCCCGGCGGGGACACCATCTTCGGGAAGATCATCCGCAAGGAGATCCCCGCCAACATCATCTACGAGGACGAGCAGGTGCGCGGCCGCCACCCCTCCCGGCCCCCTCCCCTTCTCGCGGGGGCCCGGGGGTGCCCTGGAGGCGCTCGGGAGCGCGGCGGGGCGGGCGGGGCGCTCCCGCACCGTCCCTGCAGCTGCGTCGGGCTCCCGGCCAAGGGACCAGGGTTCTCACGGCTGGCGTGGGACAGTAGCCGCGAAACCTGAACCACCCGCAGGCAGTCTCCGTGCGCGCTCCGAGCAGTGCGCCGTAACTGGGTGCTTTTACTTGTCCCTCGTAGCCTCACAGAGGTTATGCAGCTCCGCCCGCCAGGCCTTGGCTGCGAACCTCCGGGAGGGGTTGTTAAAGGGAAAATTTAAAGAGAATTGGAGCTTTTCAAGCTCTTATTAAATAGCGCTGGTCATCCTGCAGGCAGCAAAAGTCGGTTCCGGCGGTGAGGTGGGACTGGTAGCATTCAGCGATGCTGGTGCATCACAGCGTGTTAGAGACTAAATGAAACAATCAATGCAGCGGCTGTCTCCAAGCTGTAAGCTAACTAGTATTCAGTATAAGCACCCCTGCCCCCTTTCCTCCCCCTTCGCATTGAAATGCAGGAGGCATCATTAACAGGGGCTTTTGCTTTTGCTTTTGAAGTGAAGGGTTGTTGTCAGTGTGGAATGCAGGCTCGCTAAGGATGTCAGATCCATATGCTTGGGAGAGTCGATACAGAAACGTTGCAGTTGCCCTCTTCTCTCAAGAATATTGGAAATCTTCACTGCCTTCTGAAAATCACGCTTATGTTACTGCTCTGTGTTTGTGTGAGGGTGTGCATTCTTTCTTTACCTGGGTCAAAGAGGTTTTTCTTCAGCTGCAGTGGCTACCGCAGAGTAACCAGAGCACTCTTTGAGTAACTTAGAGCATATAACCCACTCTTGACAGCCATTAGTCCACAATATTTTCTGGAAGAGATATTTTACCTTCATCGCCTTGGTTGATTTTTACCTTAACCTGAACAGAAATGTAGAATTTCTTTTAGAGTTCAGTTGGCTAATGGGGGATCTTTTAATTAATTGTCTTGACTCCATCAATGGTTGGAAATGTTAAAAGGAGAAGGGTAAAGAAGTCTTTTAATCATTAATCGACATGCAGAGAAAAGGGCATACCAAAAAGTACAAAGTCTCTGTGAAATTATGCTTTATCACTGTTGTTCCAGTCGAATCTAAACTTGCTGAACTGAAGATTGGTTTACCATGACCTCCTGGACTTCCTGTGATTGTGCTTTTTGCTCAATACTACTTCTGCTTTTTGTCCCAAAGAAAAGTGTTTACTACTGATCTTCTGCTCTTTAAATTCTTTGACACAGTTTGACCATTTGCATTCTGCCTGTGCATGTGCCACGTATAATAGAAAAACTGCTTACAAAGTGATCAACTCGAAGTAAGATTTGCTTAATTGTGTGCAAATTAGTTTTGTTGATCGATTATTTGCTTCCTGTCCTTCTCTGTTTGGGAGACACGAGTGGTTCCTCAGAGATTCAAAACTGGGTAGTATCTTCTTAAATAGAAATGAAAGTATCCAGGAAATAAATATTTTGAAGAGTCTGTGTGTTGGTTATTGTGACATAACCAATGTTACATGTCCAGGGTAAGTAAGAGGTGTCATTGGACAGATGATGGCAGAGCACATGCCACGCCTCTGCAGATTGTCCTGGTTGCAGTAGCAAGACCCAGTTCTGTGGTTGGCCATTTGTGCAGAGACATAGCTTCCTTTTATCTTTCTTTGCTTTCTCTTTTATTTCTATTACCTATTGGCAAATTCCTAATTTGGGATTTGTTTGATATTGTTAGGTGCTGCTTTCAGTTTCTGATTGGTAGTAATTTTGGTATTTGCATAACTTTAGTTGAGAGTCAGCTATTCACTGCTGATCGTTGTTAATATTTCGAAAGTGATGCCTGTCCCTCAGTGTGGGAATGTCTGAAATAGAGCCATTCTTAATGCATTACTCCGAAATCTTTTTCTGAAATATTTGGTGCTGTTGAGAACAGAAGTGTAATATGGCCTCAAATCACGTAACTTCAGGTTCTTTGGAATTGCCTTGCTATCTTTTGACCAAGGCAATATTCAGACATAACTGGAAGATGATTAACAACTGTTTGCCATTCATTTTATTAAATATGGTGTTAATAAAAATTTGAAATAAGCGTAAATGTACTTTCTGTAGGCATGCCAATAGCTCTATTAGATGTCATGCATATGTTGATATAATAAATCAGGTACCTGATTGCATTTCACCTTGCTGAGAAGACTGTAGCTTTTAAATGGAATAGCAATTTTTTTTTTGTGCCAGCATGTCTTAGTAAGTAGTGTTTTGTGTTTAGAAATTAGACTATGTAGAATAATAAAACACTCAAGAAAAATCAACATCTCTGTTTATGTTTGGGTTATCTGATAATGTGCATATGTGTGTATTTAGGAGGGCATATTGGTTTACTGAAACTCTTAACCTTTCTCTGAGACAAATCATATTTTAATTGTTTGCTGTTCCTCCAGTGCCTCGCATTCCATGATATTTCACCTCAAGCTCCAACACATTTCCTAGTGATTCCTAAGAAGCCAATTGTCAGATTGTCTGAAGCAGAAGACTCTGATGAATCTGTAAGTACTCTAGAAGCTTTCTCTACACCAAGCCGTGCCTCTAATTACTTCACAATGTAGTAGGCTCTCCCCCTTTTCCTCTTGACATATCAAACAGAGTAGTTTTCTGATACAATAATCCTTGTTCTCTAACTTAGAATGATAATGGAGTTAAAGTTTTCCAGTAAAATTAGTCATAGAAAGAAAAAAGATTTCTCTGTGTGTATTTGCCATGCAAAATGAATTGGTATTTATTATGTTATACTCTTGATGTCTGTTTTCATGGTTTACAGGCAGTAGTACTTTGGGGTTTTTAGCAGGTCAGAGGTGAAGAAAAGGAAAGTTAGCTGAGAGGTGCTGAATATTTCATTTGTAACTATAAACATCAAGCTTAAAGATTTTGCAAAGCTTTACATGGTAAGATAAAGTTTCTTTTCCACCAGAATTATATATGTTGTCTGAAACAGTAATGGGGGCTTTAGCCATAATTTGGCTTCTGTGACACTTTTGTAGTCTGTTACAGCCTGGCTTGAAAAAAAATTTGTAGCTTTATTTCCCCCCTATATTTTGCATAGTAAGTCTTTATAGTTTTTCTTGGAAAATGTCAGTTGCAGTCAGACAACAGTTTGAAGAGCAGTGGCTGAATTTCTGAGAATTATTGATTCTCTGCTCTTCTTCCTTCCCTCCCTGCCCTTTTCCCCTTTTTATGTGTTTTCTGGTTGTTGTTTTTTTTTTTTTTTTTTTTTTTTTTTTTTTTTTTTTCCTCTTTCTTTCTCTTCCAGCTTCTTGGGCATTTAATGATTGTTGGCAAGAAGTGTGCTGCTAACCTGGGCCTGACCAATGGATTCCGGATGGTTGTGAATGAAGGGCCTGAGGGTGGGCAGTCTGTCTATCACGTACACCTCCATGTTCTGGGCGGCCGTCAGTTGGGCTGGCCTCCTGGCTAAGATTTTTACACCACAAGAGCTAACTGTGCATGCATACAAGTTACCACCAAACAGATTTAATGTGTTATCCATCAGTCTAGCCACTGTTAGTGTATTGTTTTTTTTTTTAATGTGTGTCTACAGAGGGTATTAAATGCTCTGAACAACATTCGCACAATAAAATTTAAGCATGTGGGAATCGTCTCTGTCTGGTGTGCCTTACTTATGGGAAGAGTTCTGCAAGGTGAAAGGATGTTCTCTGGCATTTAAGGTTTTGATCTGCTAACAAACCTTCTGTAGACAGTGATTTGCTATGGCATTTGAAACCTGGAGGTGCAGCTGAACTGCTTAGCAGGCTTTCATGTCTCTTGGGAAGAAAACTTGAAAGCTTTTTGAGTGTGGTATATAAATATTCATAAAGCCGGTGTAGGCTGCCCCTGAAATTTTTTTAAAAAGTGAAATTTGAACATCCCGTGCAAGGCTTGTGTCAGTACAGTGCAGTGTGTTGGGAACATACAACTCCTGTTGGAGCTCGCTCTCAGTGGCATTATAAGGCTCCATTTTTCCAGTGAGAAGGGGCAAACCAGTAGTCTTAATGGCAGCTGTCATAGATCCATAGTGCCTGGGTACCTAACATCATGATTTGGATCAAATCGAGGGATTGAAAATACTGAACTCTTCTAAGATGCTCAAGGCATTTCATCTTGGCATGTAAGCAGCGTGATGTATTTATATACATTTTGAATTCTAGATTTTAGCAGATTTTTTCCTTCAGTGAACAGTACTTTCTGTGTTGCTGCATACAGTTAGTTTTTCATGCAACAATGTAATCAGATCTCCAAGGCAATAAATTTTCTTGAAGTTAGGGTTACAGCTGTGTCTGCCAGTGTAACTATAAAACAGCTGTTCTTTCTGATAAAATTGAGTCACCAGTAACCAGTTTTTATGACAAAAGATACTTGAAAGCCTCTAGGCAGATGCCTTGAGAAAAACTGGGTTATTTGTGAGCACCAGAGGTGTTAAAGAAATGTGGGAGTGTAGTGTAGAGGGTGGACAGGTAAGGGGTGTGACTTGCGTTTTCTGCTCAGATAACTAACTTGCAAGTTCTGCAAAGCCATTTGAATTCATTCAACTTGTAAGTATTCTGTAAGTACCTCTGGATGTCCTGGCCTTTGAGAATTTTTGCCCCAAGATGTGACTTAAACTGGAAAATCAGGTAATGCTTCTGAAGGTGGCTGGTCTATACTCGAATTAAGAATAAAAAGGTGGTTCTGTACTGGTAGCCTGATGACGTTAACTCCTGTGTCACCTGCACAGAAGAGAAGAAGAAAACCACCCAATCCCCAGAGGTACAACATCCCTGGGCAAATAGCTGAGTGTGCATCCCGAGAACGAGTGTTGATTCCGTGGCTGGGTGACTACTCCAGTACAGCTGCTCTGTCCTGTGATTTCTAAGGCCACTTAACTAAGGAAGATGCGTTAACTGCATCACAGGGAGGCAGCAAACTTCATCATAGTAAGCACTGAGGAGGTGGATATGGGAAAGCAGGTTTATCCTACACATCCTTTGACTCTGCATTACTGATGGATCTGAAACACCCACTGGAAGATGTCTTGATCTCTGCTGTTCTGCAGGTAATCAAATGTACTTAGATGACAAAAGCCTGTGAGCAACCCAAGGACTTCACCTCTATTTAATTGTCATGCGCAGAAGGTGGAAACAATTTACATGACCTGAATACAAGCTAATGTATAATCTGAAATTGAATTGCTGAGGTGTAATGCACTGTTACATTGCTCCAGATTAGAGACAGCATGAGTGTCCGAGAGAGAGAGCTAAACTGCACTGTGACATTTAAGTCAGTTTCTAAAATGTCAGATACTGAGTTTGAACACTTCCTAGGTGTGAAATTTTGCATTACTTTAGTTATTGAGCTGCCCAGTCTTGTTGAGCCAAGCTGACCACGTGTACCCAATACCATTCTTGAAAATCCCATGATGGTAACTGTTGCAGGTTTGGACAAATCATCCTGACTGAGGCTACAGTTGTCTTATTTTATCCTTTTTGTTTGGTGTTTTCTTGTGTGTTAGAACTCATTTTTGTGGACCACATTGGATTTCTCTCAAGATCACTGTGTTAATGTTTTATCTGACTATACCTGTATTTGCTGTGGATTTAAATAAAAAGTTCTGTTTTCATCCTTTTTCTTCTCCTGTTATTGGGGGGAAAAACAACCATTGCAACAATTCCTTTTACTCCTTAACAGACAGGAAACTTCTGTGATGAGCTAGGCAGAATTTAATCTTTTTTTATTGTTATTCCCAGTTACAAATTTCTTTTCTTTTGACAAACTGTAATAGTATACTCTAACCAATTCATAGCTGAGCTTGAAAGAACTAGTGGAAAGTCAAAACCTGGGCTTTTGCTGTTGGGCAGAGCTGTTTGCTGGTTTTGGCCACTAGGTATGTGTGCCCTGTGCCTATCATAAAGGATTTGAAAAGGAAATGTGGGTTTTATTGGACTATGATGTGCTTACACACCATACCTGGAGTAGTTACAAGGCTGCCAGGTGAGGGAAAAAAGTGTAAAATGTGGAGTCTTTTGTGTAGAAGTTGAAGAGAGAGAGGTGATTTAAGGAGGGGCCACTGCTTTGGGTTAGGATCATGACTCTTTGGCAATGGGAAACTTGGGAAATGTCTGGGGATCCAGCCCCTTGAGCTTCAAGAGAGCAACATTTTCTGAGAAACGTAAGGGTCTTGAGAGAAACAGCATCTAGAGATTCCAGAAGAAAGATACGACCTCTTCTCAACTCATGGTAAAAGAGAACCAGCAATCCTGCATGCAAATGGTAAAAAATGTAAGTATTAGCTGATAGGATGTTGGAAAGCCAGAAATACCTATAAAGACAGTTGGACTGAATGGTCTTGGAGGTCTTTTCCAACCTTAATGATTATGATTCTGAGATGTGACTGAGTAGATGTGAGTGTGGTTAACTTGGTGTTGCTAAACTTGCTCAAAACACAGCCTTACTGGAGACAGCACTTTGAGGATGTGAAGGGTAAGGGGACAAAAACTGAGGCTGGAACTGTAGTTTCTGACCCCTTTTTCAGGAAGGATTTGTAATGTTGGCTTGGCTGAAGGTCAAGGACCAGTCAACCTTTTATAACTGAGACTTTAGTAGCAGAGAAGACTCACAGTTGAGAATAACTAACTATACTCTGATCAGGTAGTTTTATTTTGTTGTGGTAGCTGTGCTTCAGTCAAGTTTTCATGGAATGTAATTGCAGAATCGTAGAATATGCTGAGCTGGAAGGATCCCATCAAGATCATTGAGTCCAACTCCTGGCCCTGCACAGAATACTCCAAGAATCACACCATGTCCTTGACAGTGTTGTTCAGACACTTGAACTCTGTCAGGCTTGGTGCTGTGACCACTGCCCTCGGGAGCCTGTTCAGTGCCCAACCATCCTCTGGGTGAAAAACCTAAACCTTCCCTGACTCAACTTCATTCTGTTTCCTCAAGTCCTGTCACTGGTCACAAGAGTGAAGAGATCAGTGCCTGCCCCTCTACTTCCCCTCCCAAGGAAGTTGTAACTGCAGTGAGGTCTCCCCTCAGTCTCCTCCAGGCTGAACAAGCTGCTCCTCACACAGCTTCCCCTCCAGACTCTTCACCCTCTTAGTTGTCCTCCTTTGGGCACTTTCTAACAGCTTAATATCTTTCCTATATTGCAGTGCCCCAAACTGCACACAATATTGGAGGTGAGGCTGCCCCAGGTCAGAGCAGAGCAGGACAATCCCCTCCCTCATGATGCTTTGCCTGATGCCCCCAGGACAGGGTTGACCCTCCTGGCTGCCAGGGCACTGCTGGCTCAGATTCAACTTGCCATCGACCAGGACTCCCAGGGCTCTTTCTGCAGTGCTGCACAGGGATAAAAAACAGTTTTCCCACTTAGCAATGGTAAATGACCTTGTAAGAGACTAAAGTTTTATCACCGTAGTAAGATCTAAACTCCAGTGTGTGGCATGAGTGGAGTAACAATTCCAGAGGCTTAATTTGAGGAAGGAAATGTCTATGTGGAAAAGGAAAAGGAGAGGTGAGTAAAATTGCTTTCTTACAATTGTATATTTCCAGTGTTGTTCTATCTGGGTCTTTTTCTGAGTGCTTGGGTGTAGAACTCTGGAGGTGAAGTTGTTTAGCTCCCAAGAGTGGTTGCTCCTCTACAGTTCAGCTCTCTGTTAGGACTCTGCCTCTGTGAAGTAACCCATTGCGAGCCAAGGGAGGCTCAGTGCCTTGATTTGCATCAGAGCTTATCTACCTGTCCATAAAATTTCTGTACTCTTGCACAGAAATGAGGTTCCAATGATCTGTGGTGACAAAGATAACATCACAGTACTTACATAGGTCTTCCTTTCTGTAGTCGGTTGTTTGGAATGCATTCAGTGGTTAGGTTGCAAGTTGCGCTGCTGCTTATTAATAATATTAATTCTTCATGATGATAATTTCTGGAAAGGGATTTAACTTGATTTAATTTTTAGTCCAAAGGCTTTGTCCCACAAATTGTGTTTGGATCTTAGTTTAATTAGAACACTTGGGTTGATGCTTGACGGAATTAATCACTCGTCACTGCCTTTTTTGCAGTTAGAAAAATCTAATTTAATTCTTAATATTGTGGGGGTTTTACCATTTAGCAGCACAGCAGCATCCACAAAATTGCTTCTATTTTTATTCATAGTGGAGCAAACATGCATTTGCTTTTCCAGCTGTGACATGAAAGCGTTTGGGTTTTGAATCAGAAGATGTGAAATAAGTGGTAGTCATGGTACAGTTCACTTTCCACTCTGAGGCACCTCTCTGGATTTCATCTCGATCTCCCTGGAGACTCCAGTTATCATCAAATCATAAGCTAGCCTAGGGCCTTCCTCTGTTATTTCTGCACAAACAGAATGGAATGTCAGCTTCACGGCCAAACAAGATGCATCATGACTGTAGTCCAGTGCTTAGAATGCTTATTTATATTCAGTGAAGCTTAGCTTAGAGAAATGTGGAAAACACTATCACTCTGGTCCCAGAAGATGTGTTGAACACTAATGTGAAGACCAGAATAATGTGACTGTTTTGCAGAGGCAATTGGGAACAACACGAGGGTAGAATTATACTCCCGTATTTTAAACTAAAGTCCTCTGTCCCGTAGTAAAGGCATATGGGATAGAATATGCTGATTCCTTTAGATTCAACACATAGGATGCTGGGGTAGACATTTTGCAATAACTAGTATTTTTCTTCAGACAGCTTCTCAATTAAAAGAAGAAAAAAAAGTTCTGGCTTTGTGATGTGTGTCCCGATCTTGCTGGGGCAGCAGTGTGTGATGTCCGACTGTATTTGCGTACGCTGTGCTGTAATCGGGCTTGCCACACTTGCCCTCTTTGAAAAAAAATGGGTAAACACAGAGATTTCTGAAGATAACCAGGTAAAACAAATGGGTTCCTCGCACATTTAAACCCTTGTGGGGCAAGGGTGGTGTTTTCTCTGGGGTTTTTGAACATGGGTGAGCTACACATCTCTGTCATCTTTAGCAGCATTATCTTCAGACTTGAATGAGAGGCCATGTGCATTACAGAAACCAGCATAAGTAGCAGAATGTCCTTTCTGTTGCAGAGAAATAAAAAATGTTTATGAAATTCTTTCAGACCTTAACATTTGCCTTTGTAATAGTTTTTAGTTTAGATTTTATTTATGATTAGTGGTAGCACTTCTTGATCAGTATGTTAAGAAAGTGCTTTCCTGAGTTTATTTCATATGTTACTTGGGAAAAGAGAAAGTGTAGCAGAACAATGATCTTTTGTCTTCAGAACTATGGAGTTCTTGAGTGCACTTGTGGATTAGATCTCACGGGAGGCAGCTGCGTAGAGGTCTAAAACAGCTTTTTTGATTATCAAGAATAGCCTCCTGCAGGAAGAGGAACAGCATGTTTTGAAGTTCACAGGCTGAGGAGATGTGGCAGGAGGTTCACGTGGCTGAATGGGCAGCTCTGACTGAACTCTGAACTTGTGCATCAGTGGAAGTGGGCATGGGCTACATGAAAGAAAGAAACATTTCTCAAATGGAGTAGAAGAGTCAAACTCAGATGGAAGTGAAATTTGTGTATGAGAAGGGCAGCAAGAAGGGCTGCTATAGTTGCCTAAGCAGCAAGAGCGGTCTAAAGAATATGCAGACCTGCTGAAAAAATGAGGTGGTGGGCCTAGTCACACAGGAAATAGAAAAGGCAACAGTTTTTTTTCTTTTTCTTTACTGGCAAACTCTACTGTCATGTCTCCTAATTCTGTGTACCCAAAGGCCAAGTTTGGGCCATGGTAAAGGACGGTGAAGACTTCATAAACAATCTAGACTTGCAAGAAGTTCATGGGACTGAGTGGGATGCATCCAGTGGTGCTGAGGAAACTAGTGAAACAACAGGAAAGCCACAAGGCAAAGCCCTCAAAAAGTCAAAGTTGCAGAATTGAAATAAAAAGCATGTGAGGGAGAAGGGATGTATCTGAAATCCTGTAATTTTAAAATTTAAATGCAAATATAAATTTGCATCTGTGAGACTGTATATGTTTGTACACAATTTATGATGTATCTTTCTTACTCCTTCTGTCTTGAGACTGGGAGAAATACCATATTAAGCTGCTCATTGTTAGCCACAGTTAATCAGAAATCAATGTCTGGAAACTTATCAGAATGCAGAACACATTTCTTTCAAACACAAAAAAAAGAAAAAACCCCAAGACATGAAACAAAGGAGAATTAGAGCTGTTATGCTGTTATGAACAGACTGATTTTTTTTGTACTGAAAAATGTGTGACTGTTTCTTGTTTTACAGGACATAAAAATTGTAAGAGAAGTGTAGATAATGTCCCCTACCCCCTTTGCATTCCCTGATGGATTGCAACTGTCTTGGGATGCGAGTCAGCCACTGTTAATTCCCATGCGAACCCAGACAATAGTGCAGTTTTCAGCCTTGTTATGTGGAAATTATCTCTCTCTCATTTTCTTAGCTGATAGACCTCGATATGTGAAACTATGCTGACACTGAAATGTTGTTGGGCTCAGGTAATTAGTGATGATGACTGGAAAAAAACCCAAAAAACAGACCAAAATGGCGCAACATGTCATCTACAGCTGTGTGAGCTGGTGCCCATCTCGGATGCTTGCTTG